CCTACCTAGCCCTGTCCATTTATTTATTTAGAGACAGGCTCTCACCAAGTTGCCCAAGTAGGGCTAAAATTTGCAATCCTCCTGCCTCAGCCTCCTGATTAGCTGGAATTACAAGCAGGTGCCACCACACCCAGCTTTACTGTCTTAATTTGAGGTCCTCACTCTAGATGACTTTGATTTATCTACTAACAAAGTAATCCTGTCTTTGTGCCACCAACAAACCAGACAAATACAACTTCTGTATCCTCAACCACCCGAACCCTAACCTGAGCCAAAAACAGAGCCCTGTGGCACTCTCTTCCAGCCTTCTTCCAGGCTGACTCTGAGCCAGTAATTAACAGTGTTTGCACACGATTCCCAAATTAGACTAATACCACCACTGGGCCCTATTTCACTACTTACGATTTAATGTGGACAATCATATCTTAAGAAACTGTGAAATACTTCACTAAAGCCAAACATACCAGAGCTGCCACATCATTCCCCTCTGGTTTAGTAAGCAAACATCACACAAAACAGGAAATGGACTTAATTTGACACAATTCAGCTGACTTCTAGTTACCCTTGCAGCCTATAGCCACAAATTTTTAGGAAACATGCACTTCACCTTTAACTTGTATGCATGTTATAAACATAAAGAAAGTAATGCTCTTAAGTGAATTTTGTCTACCTGTAAAAGGAGGGATAGTGGTCAGCCTCTCTCATCTGCAGCTCACCCGGGAGAAGCTCTGAACTGTGGGTAGGCAGGGACTCCTGGATAAGCCACAGTGTCCTCCGCCACGGAGACTTAGCATATCAGCTGCCCGCAAACAGGCCTACTCTTCTGGAGTCTTGCCCATTAACACCTGGGCTTGAGCCAGGTCTCCTGCGACCACTATGAAAGTCTCTGGATTGGGGCCGGGGAGATGGCTCAGTGGAATAAGCGCTTCCCTGGCAAGCGCAAGGGCCTGAGTTCAATCCCTGGTTCTGCAAAAAAAAACAAAAAAAAAGAACCCTCTAGATCATGCACACTTTCCTCCTGGGGCCACCTCAGGAGTGAAAAACAAGAGAACAATGGCTCCCCCCCCTCCTTGGTCTGCCTTTATGGCTCCACAAAACCAAAGCTCCTCAGAATCTAATGTCACAGGGCAACTGACAGCCATGACTCACATTTCACCAATTTACCACCCCCCACACCATCCTCAGAGGGGCGCACCAGAAGCCACCAGCTAACCATGTCAGCCCAAGAGGGAAGCAGGACAGAACTTAGGATTGCTAGAAATCTGTCCCACTGACCAGATGACAAGGCAAAGCCCTCTCTAGTAATACCATTCGGATCATCCCAAAAGTATTTCCAAGTTGCAGACAGCAGCTCCTCAGAGAGTGTGCTCACTTGCCTAAAGCAAAGCCGTGGCGCTCAAATCCTCAGATTCCAGTGTCGCGCACTGGCCAGAATCCCCAGGGGCCAGCCAGGGCCTATGACAGCGACCACAAACTCTCAGGCATGGCATCCACGCCTCTTGAAACCTAGTCACAAAGCCTAATGCCTATGGGACCTAGCGAGGAACATACAGCAACTGGGCCCAGGCAGTTGACAGAGGACACCGGGATCATGACAACTGGGTGCAGCAGGCCTGTCTCCTTTCCACAGGTGAAATGAGTGCCAGATCTGACTCTCAGAGAACTCCAAAGGCTTTCTGGACTATTCCTAATTTTTAGAAGCCTCTATGCTATCCAAACTATCACACACGTACAGGTTTAAAATATTCTGCAAGTCACCCCTTAGCAAGATCTGTGCTTCCTACGAACGACCCTTACCCGCCTTTCCAAGCTCATTTCTCCCTACTGCATCACAAGAGTCCTGTGTTCTTCACACTCGCGTGCTGCATTTGCTAACTCCCGGCCCATGCACACTTGCGCCTTCTCCCACATGACACCTAAGTCACCTACACTGCTCACCCCGGACTCTTCATACAGTTTTTCCTGCCCACACCCGCACATATTTCTACCTTTTCTCAAACACTTCAGGCATTTGTCTTTCATTTTTGGCATTTAAACAGCTTGCCCTTCTCCTTAATTCACGCTATACCTTAACCAGTGAGAATGAACACTTTCTCAGGGTTGTACCCTTCTACTTTCAGCAATGGGGGAGGAGGTAACTCTCTGCACAGGCATGATTTAATAAATGCTTACTGAATGTGAAAATTCTCTCTGTGCTTTTTAAGCTATTCATGTATTGTGATCCATTATTTCATTCAGAATAACTAAATGAGCTTAGTGAGAGACAGCAGGTTCTTTTGTTTTGTTTGGTTTTTTTTAGGCAAGGTCTCAGTAGGTCGCCCAGAATGGCCTTGAACTTGCAATACTCCTGTCCCAACTTCCCAAATGTATATTACCATGTGCAGCTGACAACAGCACCTTTTAATGAAAAACAATAAAATAGATCTTCCCCAAAAAAAGAGTTCAAGGAGATGGCACCAAGCAAAGGGAGGTAGTAGTCCTGCATGAGCTGACATTAGATTTTTACATACATGATTATATGTAGTAGGTCATAATGTAAATCTTATTTCTTTTTTTTTTACAGTATTACAATATCTTTATTTATTCATTTGTTGGTAGACTTATTTCTTAATGTAGGTCACGGTCAGAACACTGCAAAAAACACTGTTCTATGATGAATGCACTCAACCACTGCTTTATGCAATTACTTTTCAGGCAGTCAAATATTTGTCATAAAGAAAAAAGTACCTGATCCACACTCCCTCAGGTCTCCCCCACGCCCTCTTCCCCTACCAGCTCACAAGGACATTAAGTCACTAATTACAATCTTGGCTCATTCTGTAACCTTCTGCAATTGTCCTCCAAATTCAGATGTTGCAAGTTAAGGTGAAGGGAATTTGTTCAGCAAATCACTGTAAGTCACCCTTGCAACAAGAAAGCAGAATTCAGGCCTCAGGGAGGAAACCAGCACCAGCACTGGCTCCCTTCCATGTGCAGGGAACCAGGCTGCTGGGAATGGGCTACTGCATTGGGCTAGGAAGAACCAAGCCCTAGAGGAGTCAACACCCCCAGACCCAAATCCCCATCCCCCCAGCCCCTTCCTCAGGGCGCCCCGACACACCCCACTCCCCCTGCAGGAATCAAACACTGGGACCAGCCTGAAGATCCTGGTGGAGTCCAAAGTTCACTATGCTTCAAAGCCTAACAACATACACCTTTAGCAAACCCTATTCTGCAGCTCTCCAACCTCCAATTGCACCCACATGCCTAGCAGAATTAATAGCCCAGGTTCCCAGAAGCCCTGATTCTTCAGAGTTTTCTCCAACTTCAGGGTCAAAAGCAGCCAATGTCATCCGAATTGCAGCAGCACAAGATGAGAAAATGACCGGTGGCGCACACCTGTAATCCCAGCACTCAGGAGGCTGAGGCAGGAGGACTGCACAAGTGCAAGGCCAGCATGGGCTACATAGTGAGAGCCAGGCCAGCCTGAACTACAAGACCCTGTTGGCATCCCCCTATCCCAGCCAAAACCCTCCCAAGCCAGATCCTAAGTCCTACTCACATCCTCAGCTACCAATCTGACCGAAACAACTCCCCTTCCCGTGAAAGCCTGCCCTCTCTGATGCTCTATCCCAGGGTTCCCACCAGGCGCAGAGCAGCAGCTGCTGGCAGCACACTTATACTTGGATATCCTGGCAAATGCAGAAACTTCTACACAGCCCGAGTGTCAATTACTTCTCTGCAAAACACACATTTCCGATTTCTCCAGTTACCGACTACAGTGGCTCCAAGGCCCTGGCGGATAATCAATTTCCACAAAGAATTAATTTCCATTCATCTCTTCCCTTCACCCTGCCCCTGTAAACAGATTATTTCAACAGTAATGTTTCTCAAATGCACCCTCCCTTCCATTTCCAGTTAAATCCAGTGCGACCCCTGGGCGCTCCATGAGTGTAGCAGTCCACTAGCTGACCTGTCTCCCAACATTATTTTCAGATGCCTTTCCAAATACTCCTTCCCTGCAGAACTCACCCGCCCCAAAACTTTCTAGGTCTCCCAGGACACAACAGAGGCAAGTGCAATGCCCCAGTCTGGTTTTCTAGGACTTGCACAATCTCAACCATTGTTCCTCTCTGTCTTCAGGAAACATTCACCAAGGCCAAGGTCATGCTCTTTGCCACTTTGTCGCCCACCTCCAGGGGCTCATCTGAGAGCTCCCTTCTCTGACAGCAACAGCATCTGTGTCTTCACCTCCCCTCTGGACAGTTCACCGTGCCCTATCTGGAGGTCTCATTGCCCATGCACCAGTCTTCCAAGGTCCTGCATGAGATGACAAGTCCCCAAGGGAATCACTTTGGATATCTTTGGGTTTGGTTTTGTTTTGCAGTGCTGGGATCAAACCCAGGCTTCGCACACATAGGCAAGTGTGCTGCCACCAAGCTACATTCCAGCTTCATTTACCTTTCGACCCTCCCTGCCTGACAACAGCTCCTCTGATCCTTTCAAAGGCCTTTCCATCTGTTACTTCTGTTGACTTTGGGTCTTGCCACCAAGTCATCCTCCACATGCACACCTTTCTTCAAAACTACTCTGCCTTCTCCAACTCTAACTTTTCCTCTCTCTGCTATGTCCCCTGGCCCGCACCAACTCAGGGAGCCCTAGCTCATTAATTTGAAGTGAAGCTCTTAAAATTATTTCCACCTAACGGATAGCTTCCTGGGACCCGGGATTTTTTAGGTGCCTCTTGGCATCTCCCAGAAAGCCAGGCATCCTGCTAAGAACACAGACGCTCCCAGAAGGACCAGTGGATACAACATAATTACTGTCTCAAGGATCCTAGGGACTCGGAAGCTGTCTACACAACACCCCAGGAGGGTGTCCCAAGACTTTCAATACCTGTTGAGCGCTCACTTTGAAGCAAACCGTGCCAGTCACACCTTCCTGCAAAGCGGGTGTAAAGAAAGCAGAGGGCCTGCAGACTCCCCAGAGCCTGCCGGCTTGCACCGCAGGAGCAAAGGCCTGGGGAGCCCTCCAGAGCCCCAGCCCGACTTGGCCACCTGCAAAAGGAGGTGTGGCGGTGCCCAACGCCTGGCAGGTGGGCTCCTTTAGATCTCTCGGCCGGCCGGCAGCAAGGGAAGGCACAGATCTGAACTCCGAGGCAGGAAAGGAAAGGGTGCCTCTGGAATTGTTTGCACATGCCAAAACTCCCAGTCCAGGATCCCACCGGGCACCCTGATGCCTAAAGTGCCACGGCCTGGTAGGGCCGAGCGCAGGGGGTGAGGGAGCCAGGCTGAAGGCACAGGGCCAGAGGGTGTAGTGGCCACAGCGGGCTTGAGAGAGGTGCAGGGCCAACCCGCCGGGTAGAGGGTGTGTCTCGGAGTGGACAGGCGCGCGCGGGGCGGCCGGCCAGAAAGGGTCGGGGAAGGGCTAGGCTCCCTGTCCAGGCTCCGTCAGAGAGGAGACTCCCGATCCCAGCTCAAAGTTGGGAGGGGGCTTGGATGGGAGCACCGGCGCCCGCGAGATAAACAAGGCAGCGCGGGAGAGGGCGGGCAGCCACCAAGGCCCCCACCCCTCGGCCACCCGGCCAGCGGCCACTGCCGCAGCACCCCTACACCGCCCGCCCCCGGTCCCCCAATCCTGGTCCCGGCCCCGCCGGCGCGCACGGCGTGGGACGCGCTCGGCACCCCCGGCCCG